GTAAAGGAGGAGTAGGACCAGGAGAAGGCGGTAGACCAAGAACCTGCTGAAGGAGCGAAACGTAGTACGGCCGCGGCCGCGCAGCGCCTCCAGAAACAGCAGAGACAGCACCAGCACCCTCAGCTCCAGGGTCTCCAGTAACAACTCCCTCAGCACCACCAGCCTCAGTACCTGCAGCTCCAACGCCTGCAGTACCACCAGCCCCAGCAGCTCCAGTACCTCCAGTACGAGCACCTCCAGGACCAGCGGCTCCAAAAGCTCCAGCACCAGCAGTTCCTCTAGAAGCTCCAGCACCAGCAGCACCAGCTCCAGCAGCACCTCCAGTAGCTCCAGCACCAGCAGCACCTCCAGCAGCTCTAGTACCAGAAGCACCAGTACCTGCAGCGCCAACGCCTGCAGCACCACCAGCCCCAGCAGCTCCAGTACCTCCAGTACGAGCGCCTCCAGGACCAGCGGCTCCAGCAGCTCCAGCACCAGCAGCACTTCCAGCAGCTCCGGCACCAGCAGCACCTCCAGCAGCAGCAGCACCAGCAGCACTAGTAGCACGGCGACAGCGTCGAGCGTACCACTCACGAAGCCGCTGCGGAGAGAGGGGCTCCCGCCGCAACAGGACACCCGGAGAACCTCCAGACTCAGCACACGCAGGCTCAGCACCCCAAGTCGCAGCACCCCCAAGCTCAGCACCCCCAGGCTCCACACGCTCAGGCTCAGCACCCCAAGGCTCCGCAACCGCGGGCTCAGCACCCCCAGGCTCCACACGCTCAGGCTCAGCACCCCTAGTCCCCGCACCCGCAGGCTCAGCACCCCTAGCAGCACCTGAGTCGACAGCTACCTCGACCGGCTCGGCAGGGTCTACCTGAGACACACCTGAGGGGGCAGGACCCTGAGGGGGGAGGGGGTCTACCGGAGGAGTACCTGGTACTAGGAAGAGTGGCGGGGGGGGGAGAGAGGCAGCGCGGTAGGGAAAGAGACGGTAGTAAGACACCGACTCGTCAAACGTGACGTCCTGAGAGGACAGAACACGACGCGAGGTGGGGTGGTAGAACTGCCACCCAGGTGCGTCAAGGGGGAAGCCAAGGAAGACACAGGGAACTGCACGGGAGGACAGCTTGTCCGCCAAAGTATCGCGGACAAAAGCTCGAGATCCCCAGACGCGGAACGCGGACGCATCGCCAACCTTCCCCGTCCACCGCAGAGTAGGTGTGGTCTCCGGCAAGGAGACACGAGGCTGAAGGTTGATCTGATGCGCAGCGTACTGAATCGCAAACGGCCACAGAAAACGAGCGACGTCCATGACCATGCCAATGCGGCGCTCAGCAATCCCATTTTGCTGTGGGGAGGCCGCAAGGGTGAACGTCTGGCGGATGCCCTCCGCACGACAGAAGGCCCTCAGGAGGTCGGAGGAAAACTCACCACCTCTGTCGGAGTGTAGACGCAGAACAGGAAGGTCCGAGCTGAAACTCTCGCTGAGCTGGCGACGGGCACCGCGGATCCAGTCGATCATCACCTCAATGACGTCACCCTTGCTGCGCAAGGAGGAGACTGAGGTGTAAAGCGAGTAGTCGTCAACAACCAGCAGGAAGTAACGCTCGTGACCCTGTCCACGGACGCGGGCTGGGCCCCACACGTCCATGTGAAGAGTCTGCAGGGGAGCCTCGGTCGGAGGGAACGAGGAGGAGTGAGGAGCGGCGCGCCGCCGGCCCTCGACACAAGGAACACAGGTGGGGGACGGCCCCGAAGGAAGGGGAAGAAGGCACCGCGGGAGACCCGAGACAAGGGTACGGGAGGCCATACCTCGAAGAAGAGGCAGGGAGGGGTGACCAAGGCGGTGGTGCCACAGGAGAGTCTCGTGCGTCAGAGGACGACACGAGCAGGGGGCAGACGCAGGACTAGACCTGGACGCGGCAGCAAACACCTGACTAGACGCAGCTACCTGGCCAGACGCAGAGACCGGAGGAGACGCCGTAGTCAGTGTGTACATACTCGACCCTGGCCGACGTGTGAACGTGGCCAGGTGGCGGCCCGTCCGAGAGCAAGTGCAGTGGGTCACACACTGACCTCCAGGGGCGAACTGGTCAACCCACGCGTCCTGGAGGTCAGCTCCACTCACCAGGTTCGTAGAGAACGAGGGGAGGTGGAGTCCCGACAGCAAGCCCGACGGGGCCGCAGGACACGGGAGAACCGTGGAAGAGTGCGCAAGGACTGGGCCCCCAGAGGGGTCAGCAAGGGAGACTGCGACAGGCTGGCTGAGCAGCGTGAGCGTGGTGCTGTCTCTAAAGAAAGAGTGCGAAGCATCAGAGTCAAGTGTGAAAGTGTGCAAGGCCTCAGTAGGTGCAGTACCAGAGAGAGCAGAATCACCAGCACCTGGAGGAGCAGACACACCAAAACCTGGAGCAGCAGACGCACTAGCACCTAGAGCAGCAGCCTCAATGCCCGGGTCGGGCGGGACACTCAGGTAACAGTCACCCTCAGCACTATCAGTCAAAGCATACATGGCAGCAAGGATAGCATCGAAATCAAGATCAAAGATAGCCACATTCTGCCTAAGCAGATCACCCCAACGAGGGAGCTCAACAGCGTCAGGAAACTGGGCGCGCCAGGCGTCAGTCAGGCGACCGAAGCAGCGCTGCGCAGTGTGTGGTAGTCCGCACGTCTCCCCACGACGACTGCCGGTGCGAAGAACGTAAGTGCAGGGACCAGCACCCCCAGACCTCCCACGCCCAGCGTACCACTCACGAAGCTCCTGGGCCGACGGGGTCTCATGGGAACGCGGCTGCTGCTGGCGCTGGCTACCACCAAAGCCTCCACGCTGGGCGGCTGCACCTCGACCAGCAACACCACCACCGCCACCTCCGCCACCGCTGCCGCTGCCTCCACCACCGCTGCCGCCGCCTCCACCACCTCCGCCGCTGCCTCCACCACCTCCACCGCCGCCACTGAAGCCCCCACTCCCGGCACCACCCCCACCTCCACCGCCACCCCCTCCGCCTCCTCCACCGCCTCCGCCGCCGCCCCCGCCATCCCCTCCACCACCCTTGCTCCCCTTTCCCTTGCTGTTGCGGCGTCTCCCACTAGGGGCAGACGCAGCTCCGACCTCCTCAGTGCCAACGAGGTCGACAGCAGCAGCAGAAGCAACAGAGGGGAGAAGGGGGACAGGGGAACACCCCTCAAATAAAGGGGTGCGACGGTCGCCGCGAGAAGCACCTACAGCTAAGATACTATTCTCAGCTGCAGCTAGGCGCTCCTCTAGCAGGTCGACAGTGAGCTCGGTGGGGCAAAGGTAGAGAAAGTGGTCCCTGACTGAAGAGAGGGAGTCAAGGAGGCGGGTGACTAGGTAGTAAAGGGTGATGTACATGGGGGGGGGGTTCTTGGCACAGAACTCAGTGGGAAGGGCAGCGCGGTAGCGGGCGTCACTAGTGCGGAGGTGAGCAGCGAGGTCAGCAACTGTGGCAAAGGCAGCAAGGTCAGGGAAAAGGTACGGCAGCATGAGGCGGCTGAGGGCAGCAGTGGCAGGGGAGGAGTAGCGCGCAACTACAGCGTCGTACAAAGACTGAGCAGTCTTGTACTGGCCAAAATGCGCGCGCTCAGCAGGCGGCAGGTGACTACGAACAGCAAGACGAGCAACGGCGTCACGAGTGGTCCACTGCGAGCGAACCGTGCTGTCAGCAGTGGCAGCAGGAGCAGTAGAGATACCGGACGTGTGATCGAAAAGGGATACCCCATCCCTAGAGTCAAACTGAAGAAAGAGCAGCAGGTCGTCAACCCACACGTCAAAGTCAACTGCACGCCCCTCAGCATCAAAGGTGAGAACAGTGGGGCTAGCCATAGCAGCAGTAGGAGCAGTAGCAGCAGTAGCAGCAGGGGCAGTAGGGCAGGCAGGGCAGTGCGGCTCAGTAGGGCGGCGTGGCTCGGTAGGGCGGCGCAGCTCGGTAGGGCGGCGCGGCTCGGCAACTGGCGGCGTGGCGCAGCAGGGCGGCGCGGGCGCTTACCAGGGGCGGGTGCAGGGTCGGCCCGTGACTGCAGGGGCCGCGACAGCTGGGGGCGCGACAGCAGGGGCCGCGTCAGCAGGGGCCGCGACAGAGGGGCCGCGCCAGTAGGGGCGGTGACGGCAGGGGCCGCGACAGCAGGGGGGCCGCGACAGCAGGGGCCGTGCCAGCAGGGGCGGCGACGGCAGGGGCCGCGACAGCAGGGGGCCGCGACAGCAGGGGCCGCGTCAGCAAGGGGCCGCGACAGACGGGGCCGCGCCAGCAGGGGCGGCGACGGCAGGGGCCGCGACAGCAGGGGCCACGTCAGCAGGGGGCCGCGACAGACGGGGCCGCGCCAGCAGGGGCGGCGACGGCAGGGGCCGCGACAGCAGGGGCCGCAATAGCAGGTGGCCGCGACAGCAGGGGCGGCGATAGCAGGGGCCGCGATAGCAGGGGCGGCGACGGCAGGGGCCGCGAGGCAGGGGCTGCGACGGGCGAGGGCCGCAACAGCAGGTGGGGGCCGCGTCCAGCAGGTGCCGTGACGGGCGATAAAAGGGGGGGGGGGGGCGCGACGGGCGGCGAACAGGGCAGGGCCGCGACGGGCCGCACTAGGGCAGGGCGCAAGGCGCATCTCGGGCAGGGCGCGATGCGCGCTTCGGGCAGGGCAGGAAAAAAAAATTGTGGTGGGCCCTAAAAACGTTCCCACTAGGGAACCTGCTCAGAATACCATGTTAAAGTGTGAGCGAATGAATGATTGAACTAGGAAGCAATTGGGTACAAGTAGCAAACCTAAAAGTGTTGTACCCCATAAGAACTACCCCACTACAACTAGCATATAAGTTTGACAATGGGTTTTATATATTAAGCTCAGACAAAGCCTCCTACACTGGCTTTAATTCATACAAAGACTTCCGCTACAACAAGAAGCTACCATCCTAAGTATACGATCCTACTCAATCACTTCAAATTCTAACACTTCTTAGTCTACACTCATCCCCTGCAAGAGCCACTTTGGGCCCAACCTGTGCGCGTGCACTATGATCGGCCGGGCACGACGACCCCAGCGGCAAGCAAAGAGCGGTCCTTGCGGATGGCAGCAGGCAGATGCAGGTCAAAGAGGTCACAGCGGATGGGCATCTCCACCTGGTGTGCATGACGTGGCGAAGGTGGGGGGCGGACACTCGTTGACACTACATCAAGTGCATGTCACTACATCAAATGCATGAAACCACGTCTAATTGCAGTGTAGGAGGGATTTCTGAGCACATAGTCGGTGTAAAGGGGCACCTCATAGAAGGGGTTTTTGAGCACATAGTCGGTGTAGAGGTCGTAGATGATTGCGAGCAGCGTGGGCGCCCCCGTGAAGCCCACCTCCGTGGCTATGAAGAACTTGGTGCCTGGGGGTGGGAGGGGGGGAGAGTGGGTTCAAAGGGAAGAATCATGGGGTGCGCGGGAAGGGTGTGTTGGTTGAACGGGGTGGCGGGACAGGCGTGTCCAACATTATATGTGTATATTGTGTAGGCTATAGTGGGTTTAGCCTTAGGGGGTACAGCTTTGTTAGGGTTTCCTACTTGTACCCCCCTCCTACCTAGTTTCATCCATTCTCGTTCTATTCTAGATTCTAACATGGTATCACGAGCCTAGGTTGCTACCTAGGACCGCTTTCTACTATGGGCCCACTATTCCGCTAGAAGCGCCCTCGTGCGCCCTACCTTACGTGCGCCCTCGTGCGCCTTTCTCTGCTAGTGCGCCTTCGTGCGCCCTCGTGCGCCCTCGTGCGCCCTCGTGCGCCTTTCTCTGCTAGTGCGCCTTCGTGCGCCTTCGTGCGCCCTCGTGCGCCCTCGTGCGCCTTCGTGCGCCCTCGTGCGCCCTCGTGCGCCCTCGTGCGCCCTCGTGCACCCTCGTGCGCCCTCGAGCGCCCTCGTGCGCCCTCGAGCCGCCCCTGCAGGTCCGTCAGGCCCCCGAGCCGCCTCTGCAGACCCGTCAGGCCCCCCCCGAGCCGCCTGTGCAGGCCCGTCAGGCCCGAGAGCCGCCCCTGCAGACTCGTCAGGCCCGCGCGCAGCCTCTGCCCGACCGCGCGCCGCCCCTGCAGGCTCTCGCCGCCCGCCGCGTCGCCCTGCCCGCGGCGTCGCCGCCTGCCCGCGGCGTCGTCACCTGCCCGCGACGTAGCCCCTGCCCGCGGCGTCGTCGCCTGCCCGCGGCGTCGTCGCCTGCCTGCGGCGTTGTCGCCTGCCCGCGACGTAGCCCCTGCCCGCGACGTCGTCGCCTGCCCGCGGCGTCGTCGCCTGCCCGCGGCGTCGTCGCCGGCCCGCGGCGTCGTCACCTGCTCGCCGCGTCGCCCTGCCCACGGCGTCGCCACCTGCTCGCGGCGTCGCCCTGCTCGCGGCGTCGTCACCTGCTCGCCGCGTCGCCCTGCCCGCGGCGTCGTCACCTGCCCGCCGCGTCGCCCTGCCCGCGGCGTCGCCACCTGCCCACCGCGTCGCCCTGCTCGCCGCGTCGCCCTGACCTAATCCGCGCCTGCCCTCTGGAGCAGCCGCCCCTGGCCACTGGAGCAGCCGCCACTGCAGGAGCCGCCCCTCGCCCCTGGAGCAGCCACCGCTGCAGCAGCCGCCCCTGGCCCCTGGAGCAGCCGCCACTGCAGCAGCCGCCCCTGGCACCTGGAGCAGCTGCCGTCGCGGCCCGGCCTCGCCCTGCAGCAGCTGCCGCGGAGCTCCCTGCTGCGGCCCGGCCCCGCCCTGCAGTTGTAGCGGCCCCGCTGTCGCCACCGTCTTGCGCCTGCCGCGCCGACCACTGGTGAGTTGCCCTGCCAGCACTGCTACCGCTGCTACTGCTGCTACTGCCTTTTCTACTCCCACTGCTACTGCTCCTGCTGTTACTGCTGTTACTGCCGCTACTGCTGCTACTGCTGCTCCTGGTGTGGCCAGATGCAGCTCCAGGGCCGTGCGCGTGAGTCCCTCACGCCCCAGCAGCTTCGTGAGTGGTACGCTAGTTGGGGCTGTCGGGGTGGCCGTAGTGGTAGTCGCTCTGGAGTGGGTCGGTCGGGAGCTTCTGGTAGTGGACAGGTGCAGCTGCCGTGTCCTCTTTCGCCCCAGCAGCTTCGTGCGTGGTACGCTAGTTGGGGCTGTCGGGGTGGCCGTAGTGGTAGCCGCTCTGGAGTGGGTCGGTCGGGAGCTTCTGGTAGTGGACAGGTGCAGCTGCCGTGTCCTCTTTCGCCCCAGCAGCTTCGTGAGTGGTACGCCAGTTGGGGCTGTCGGGGTGGCCGTAGTGGTAGTCGCTCTGGAGTGCGTCGTTCGGGAGCTTCTGGTAGTGGACAGGTGCAGCTGCCGTGTCCTGTGAGTGAGGCTGCCGCTCTAGGTGCTAGTGCGTCTGTTGCCCTAGGTGCTGGTGAGGCTACCACTCCCGGTACTCCCGTGTCTGCTACCCCAGGTGCTGGTGAGGCTGCTGCTCTAGGTGCTAGTGAGTCTGCGCCCCCTGGTACTGAGTCGACTGAGGCACTGCACACCTTCACTCTGGACTCAGGTGCTTCTCGCTGTTTCTTTCGTGACCGCACTGCCCTTGAGCCGCTTGCTCGGCCAGTTACTGTCTCCCTCGCTGACCCCTCTGGGGGTCCGGTCATTGCGACCTCCTCCACTGTCCTTCCTTGTCCTGCGGTCCCGTCGGGCACACTGTCAGGTCTCCACCTCCCCTCGTTCTCTACGAACTTGGTGGCGGGTTGTGCGCTCCAGGACGGGGGTGTTCACCAGTTCACCCCTGCCTACGAGCGCGTGACACACTGCACGTGTGCTCGGACGGGCCGTCACCTGGCTACCTTCACTCGGCAGCCGGGGTCGGACCTGTACACACTGACCACTGAGTCCCCTCAGGTAGCTGCGTCTGCGTCTGCGTCAGGTCAGCTGTCGGCCCCCTGCTCGTGTCGCTCTCTGGCGCACGAGACCGTCCTCTGGCACCACCGACTTGGTCACCCGTCCGTGCAGCGCCTTCGTGCCATGCACAAACGGTACCTTGTCTCTGGTCTTCCCAGGGTTCTCCCTCCCCTCCCACCCTCGCCTGCTCCTCCCTGTCTTCCCTGTGTCGAGGGGCGGCAGCGCGCCGCTCCTCACTCCTCCTCGTTTCCCCCGACGACTGCTCCCTTGCAGACGCTCCACATGGACGTGTGGGGCCCAGCCCGCGTCCGTGGTCAGGGTCAGGAGAGGTACTTCCTGATAGTTGTTGACGACTACTCGCGCTACACCACGGTCTTCCCCTTGCGCACCAAGGGTGAGGTCCCTGATGTTTTGATCCCTTGGATCAGCGCTTCTCGTCTCCAGCTCAGCGAGCGTTTCCACTCGGACTTTCGTGTCCTGCGCTTGCACTCTGACAGAGGTGGTGAGTTCTCCTCCGACCTCTTGGCAGCCTATTGTGCGGAGCACGGCATCCGCCAGTCGTTCACGCTTCCGGCCTCTCCACAGCAGAATGGGGTTGCTGAGCGCCGCATTGGCTTGGTCATGGAGGTCGCTCGTACCTCCTTGATCCATGCGGCTGCCCCCCACTTTCTGTGGCCGTTTGCAGTCCGATACGCTGCGCATCAGCTCAACCTCTGGCCCCGTGTCTCCGTTCCGGAGACTTCGCCGACACTGCGTTGGACAGGAGAGGTTGGCGATGCGTCACGCTTTCGGGTCTGGGGATCTCGAGCCTTTGTTCGCGATACGTCCGCGGACAAGCTCTCCTCCCGCGCTGTTCCTTGTGTCTTCCTTGGCTTTGTCCCGGACGCGTCTGGATGGCAGTTTTACCACCCCACCTCGCGCCGTGTCCTGCCTTCTCAGGACGTCACTTTCGACGAGTCCGTCCCCTACTACCGCCTCTTCCCCTACCGCACTGCCCCGCTTCCCCCCCCGCCTCTCTTCCTCGCGCCAGGTGCTGCTGTGGTAGACCCCCTCCCCCCTCAGGGTGCCGCTCCCTCAGGTGTGTCCCAGGTAGACCCGGTTGAGCCTGTCGAGGTAGCTGTCGACTCTCGTCCTGCTAGGGGTGCTGAGCCTGAGGGTGCTGAGCCTGAGCGTGCGGAGCCTGGGGGTGCGGAGCCTGGGGGTGCGGAGCCTGGGGTTGCGGAGTCTGGGGGTGCGGAGCCTGGGGTTGCGGAGTCTGGGGGTGCTGAGCCTGGGGGTGCGGAGCCTGGGGGTGCTGAGCCTGGGGGTGCGGAGCCTGCGGGTGCTGAGTCTGGGGGTGCTGAGACTAGAGGTGCTGAGCCTGGGAGTGCTACACCTGGAGGAGCTCTCTCCTCACAGCAGCTGCGTGAGTGGTACTTACAGTACTGCAGCCTCAGGAGAGGTGCTTCTGGAGCCAGGAGTACTGCTGGAGCTGGTGCTAGTGCTTCCCCTCCTAGGCGGGAGCTGCCCTCTCCCCAGCGGCTTCGAGAGTGGTACGCACGGCGCTGCAGTCTTCGGAGTGGCGCTCCTAGTGTCGCGGACCCAGCTGCTGGAGGTTCTGCTGCTGGCGGTGCTTCTGACGCTGCTGGAGGTGCTGCTGGTGCTGGTGGTACTGCTGGTGCTGCTGGAGCTGCTGGAGGTGCTGCTGGTGCTGGGGCTGCTGGAGCTGCTGGAGGTGCTACTTCTTCTGGAGGTGCTGCTGGTGCTGCGGACCCTGGAGTTGGAGCTGCTGCTGGTGCTGAGGACCCGGGCGTTGGAGCTGCTGCTGGTGCTGCTGACCCGGGCGTTGGAGTTGCTGCTGGTGCTGCGGACCCTGGAGTCGGAGCTGCTGCTGGTGCTGCGGACCCTGGAGTTGGAGCTGCTGCTGGTGCTGAGGACCCTGGAGGTGGAGCTGCTGCTGGTGCTGAGGACCCTGGCGCTGGTGTCTCTGCTGGTTCTGGAGACGCTGCGCGGCCACAGCCGTACTTCGTTCCGCTCCTTCAGCAGGTTCTTGGTCAGCCTCCTCCTCCTTGTCCTCCTCCCTCCTTAGAGTGTCCTCCGTCTGTCCAGTCGCAGTCACTGTTACCATCTGCCTCCCCTCTCCCTGGTCCTTCTCCTTACACTGGTCCGACTGGAGGTCTTACGGAGCGTCGTGAGCCTGAGTCTCGTCCTGCGTCGCCTGAGTCTCGTCGAGCGTCGCCTGTTCGTGCTGCTCACACTGGTCGTCGTGTCCCGCGTCAGCGTCCTCCTGCTGTCCCAGGCACTCACCAGATGGCGCTTCGTCCTTCCACTGCTCCCCAGCGTGTCCCTCTCTCGTCTCCTCCTGCGTCCTCTCTTCTTGCTCTTGCTGACCCTGAGTCTGACTCCCTTCGTGCTGCCAGTCCTACTGTCACGCGTCTCCTGGCTACTCTTGTCACTGACCCTTCCTTTGAGTCCACTGCTGCGTCTGCCTTAGTTGCCGAGCTTGTCGACTTTGCTGCCACTTGTCGTCTCGACTACGCCGCTAGCCTAGTTGCTGAGTCTGAGTCTGTCTGTCCTCCGTCCGTCAGGGGTGAGTGTGCTCTTGGCACGGACGTCCTTGAGGACAGGCAGGAGGAGTTTGACTGCTTTGCCGCTGCTTTACCTCATCTCGTGTCCATGCTAGTTGCCCCTGAGGGAGACCCGGATGCACCAGACATCCCGACTCCGCGCTCTTACGCAGAGGCGATAGAGGGTCCCTACTCCTCTCAGTGGCAGACAGCCATGGACGCAGAGATGGCTTCCTGGAAGTCCACAGGCACCTACGTCGACAAGGTTCCCCCACCTGGGGCGAACATCGTCAGTGGCATGTGGATTTTCAGGGTGAAGCGGCCGCCGGGTTCTCCGCCTGTCTTCAAGGCGCGTTACGTTGCACGAGGCTTCAGTCAGCGAGAGGGAGTTGACTTCTTCCAGTCCTTCTCCCCGACCCCGAAGATGACCACTCTTCGGGTTCTGCTGCACGTCGCCGCTCAGCGTGACTACGAGCTCCACTCTCTTGACTTCAGCACTGCTTTCCTACAGGGCAGCCTGCACGAGGAGATCTGGCTGCGCCGCCCACCTGGCTTCACTGGGTCGTTCCCTCCTGGTACCCAGTGGAGCCTCCGGCGGCCAGTGTACGGTCTCCGACAGGCGCCACGTGAGTGGCACGACACACTGAGGACTACACTTGCGGCTCTTGGGTTCGCTCCTTCTACTGCTGACCCGTCGCTGTTTCTACGCACCGACACCTCGCTGCCGCCGTTCTACATCCTCGTGTACGTCGACGACTTGGTCTTTGCCACTGCTGACACTGCGGCACTCGCCCACGTGAAGTCGGAGCTGCAGAAGAGACACACGTGCACAGACCTGGGTGAACTGACAAGCTATCTTGGCTTGCGGATCACCCGGGACAGAGCACGGCGCACCATCACCTTGACTCAGTCACACATGGTGCAGCAGGTCCTTCAGCGCTTCCGCTTCACGTACTCCTCGCCTCAGCCCACTCCTCTGCCTACCGGTCACTCGCTCTCAGCTCTGCCTTCGGATGAGTCCGTAGAGCCGAGTGGCCCGTATCCAGAGCTTGTGGGCTGCCTCATGTACCTGATGACCTGCACTCGACCTGACCTTGCATACCCTCTTAGCATCCTTGCACGCTATGTCGCTCCTGGCCGTCACCGGAAGGAGCACATGGATGCCGCTAAGAGGGTGTTGCGCTACTTGTGCAGTACGTCGGGCATGGGGCTAGTGCTTGGAGGACGAGACCGAGTTGTACTCACTGGGCACTCAGACGCGTCTTGGGCTGACGACCAGGCTACTCAGCGATCGTCTCAGGGTTACACCTTCAGCCTTGGCTCTGGTTCAGTTTCTTGGCGTTCTACACGCTCGTCTTCTGTTCTCAGCTCCAGTTGTGAGGCTGAGATCTACGCCACAGCCATGGCTGCACAGGAGTTACGCTGGCTCACCTACCTGCTGACCGACTTGGGAGAGCGGCCTCGTTCTCCTCCAGTGCTGTACGTCGACAACAAGGCTGCCATTGCCTTGTGTGAGGAGCACAGACTGGAGCACAGAACGAAGCATATCGCTCTGCGCTACTTCCTTGCTCGAGAGCTGCAGCAGCGCGGTCAGCTTCGTCTGCGTTACGTGGCCACTCGGGCCAACACTGCTGATGTGTTCACCAAGGCGCTTCAGCCTTGTGACCATCAGCGCTTCTGTACTGTTCTAGGCCTCGTGCCTACTGGGCCTCACTTGCTTACTTCTTGACTCTGCTTGTACTGTGATCTCTATATATATGCCTGCTTGTTTACTCTTGCTAGGTTGTGATCACTGTATCTCTTGTTATACTATCAACCTGCATGTGAACTGGTCTTGTGACCACTTGCTTGTGCTCAGAATTTGTGTGGTTTCCTTGAGATCCACCCTGAGCTTGCTTTGCTTTGCTTTGACTGGTCTTGTGACCATCTGGTTGTCTCCCACTTAGCCTATGGGGGTGTGTCCAACATTATATGTTTATATTGTGTAGGCTATAGTGGGTTTAGCCTTAGGGGGTACAGCTTTGTTAGGGTTTCCTACTTGTACCCCCCTCCTACCTAGTTTCATCCATTCTCGTTCTTTTCTAGATTCTAACAAGGCGTGCCCTGAGGAGGCTGACTGTGCAGCCTATGTTCCTGTCGCCGCCAAAACAGGGTAACGTCCAGCGTCCTTGCGCAGCGTCTGGACGCTAGACGTTCACCAAAACGTTTTCAGGCTACCCGTAAAAAAAAAAACGGACTGCCCCAAAATGCCCCAAGGGTACGTCGTCCATGAGGAGTCGGATGATGAGGAGCAGGAGGAGGAGGAGGAGGAGGAGGAGGAGGAGGAGGAGGAGGAGGAGGAGGAGGAGGAGGAGGAGGAGGAGGAGGATGAGGAGGAGGAGGAGGAGGAGGAAGAGGGGGGCGCAGTGCTTCTGGAGTGGATAAGTACGAGATGTTGGACACATCCATGGTAACATTGTGTGCAGCCCGGTGCATTGCACGGTGTGGTCGGAAGATAAAAGGTGTCAGAGGGATGTGGGGGGCTAGATCCATGAGGAATGGGATGGGGCAGAGTGGATAGGAATGAGGCAGAGGGCAATAGAGAGTGGGGAGCTGGTGCTGCTCACAGTGGATCACCAGCCAATCTGAATGGCAACACTCCTGTGGGTGGAGTTGATGGGTGGGAGGGCACCTGTGAGCGTCTGGAAGCAGTGCAGATCAAAGGTGCCCGCCTCCAGCATCTCTATGCCGCCTCCGTTGGGGATGGGCGACAGCTGTTCACACAGATAGGCAATGGCAAGAGGGGGATCTTGGTTCAACAAGCTGTCGGTCTGTGCTTCATGTGGGTGTCACATCACATGCGGCCATGGCATCAAGGCATGGATGTAGGGAGGTATGCATCACACAGCCACTATCAGCCATTGACAGCGACGCAAATCACAGCCGCTCACAGCCGCTCACAGCTGCTCACAGCCGCACACAGCCACTCACAGCCGCTCGCAGCCACTCACAGCCGCCCACAGCCACTCACAGCCGCCCACAGCCACTCACAGCCGCCCACAGCCACTCACAGCCGCTCGCAGCCGCTCACAGCCACTCACAGCCACTCACAGCTGCTCACAGCCACACACAGCCGCTCACAGCCGCTCACAGGAGCTCACAGCCAATTAACAGCCACTGACAGCCACTCACAGCCACTCACAGTCACTCACAGCCGCTCACAGCCGCTCATAGCCACTCACAGCCACTCACAGCCGCTCACATCCACTCACAGCCGCTCACAGCCGCTCACAGCCACTCACAGCCGCTCACAGCTGCTCACAGCTGCTCACAGCCGCTCACAGCCGCTCACAGCCACTCACAGCCAGTCACAGCCACTCACAGCCGCTCACAGCCACTCACAGCCGCTCACAGCCACTCACAGCCACTCACAGCCGCTCACAGCCGCTCACAGCCGCTCACAGCCGCTCACAGCCACTCACAGCCGCTCACAGCCACTCACAGCCACTCACAGCCACTCACAGCCGCTCACAGACACTCATAGTCAGTCACAGCCAGTCTCAGCCAGTCACAGCCACTCACAGCCACTCACAGCCACTCACAGTCACTCACAGCCGCTCACAGCCGCTCACAGCCACTCACAGCCACTCACAGCCGCTCACATCCACTCACAGCCGCTCACAGCCGCTCACAGCCACTCACAGCCGCTCACAGCTGCTCACAGCTGCTCACAGCCGCTCACAGCCGCTCACAGCCACTCACAGCCAGTCACAGCCACTCACAGCCGCTCACAGCCACTCACAGCCGCTCACAGCCACTCACAGCCACTCACAGCCGCTCACAGCCGCTCACAGCCGCTCACAGCCGCTCACAGCCACTCACAGCCGCTCACAGCCACTCACAGCCACTCACAGCCACTCACAGCCGCTCACAGACACTCACAGTCAGTCACAGCCAGTCTCAGCCAGTCACAGCCACTCACAGCCACTCACAGCCACTCACAGCCGCTCACAGCCGCTCACAGCCGCTCACAGCCGCTCACAGCCGCTCACAGCTACTCACAGCCACTCACAGCCGCTCACAGCCGCTTACAGCCACTCACAGCCACTCACAGCCGCTCACAGCTGCTCACAGCCGCTCACTGCCGCTCACAGCCGATCACAGCCGCTCACAGCCACTCACAGCCACTCACAGCCACTCACAGCCACTCACAGCCGCTCACAGCCGCTCACAGCCGCTCACAGCTGCTCACAGCCGCACACAGCCACTCACAGCCGCTCGCAGCCACTCACAGCCGCCCACAGCCACTCACAGCCGCCCACAGCCACTCACAGCCGCCCACAGCCACTCACAGCCGCTCGCAGCCGCTCACAGCCACTCACAGCCACTCACAGCCGCTCACAGCCGCACACAGCCGCTCACAGCTGCTCACAGGAGCTCACAGCCAATTAACAGCCGCTCACAGCCTCTCACAGCCACTCACAGTCACTCAGAGCCGCTCACAGCCGCTCACAGCCACTCACAGCCACTCACAGCCACACACAGCCGCTCACATCCACTCACAGCCGCTCACAGCCGCTCACAGCCACTCACAGCCGCTCACAGCTGCTCACAGCCACTCACAGCCACTCACAGCCACTCACAGCCGCTCACAGCCGCTCACAGCCGCTCACAGCCACTCACAGCCACTCACAGCCGCTCACAGCCGCTCACAGCCGCTCACAGCCGCTCACAGCCACTCACAGCCGCTCACAGCCGCTCACAGCCACTCACAGCCACTCACAGCCGCTCACAGCCGCTCACAGCCGCTCACAGCCACTCACAGCCGCTCACAGCCACTCACAGCCACTCACAGCCACTCACAGCCGCTCACAGCCACTCACAGCCACTCACAGCCGCTCACAGCCACTCACAGCCACGGCCAGTGCACGACACCTGCATGGCGATGGCGTGCAGCCCGTGCCACGTGGACGCAAGGCGCAGCGAGTCGGTGTCCAGCCGGTTCAACGACCCAAAGTCCTGCCACAGCCAGGGGGAGGGGAAGAGAGAGGTGAGGAGACGGGGGAAAGCAGGGAGGGGGAGGTGCGGGCTTGAGGGAAGGCAGAAAGGGGAAAGCGGATGGAGGAAAAAGCGTTGGGAGATTGTCAGTTTGAGCGAGTTCAGATTCTGTTGCCGTGCTGCTCCAAGGTTTGGACTTCTGACGTTGGGGGCCATTCCAGGGGCGGGGGTGGTGCCGAGGTGGGGGAAAATATTTTAATGCCTAGAGTTGTGCTTTAGTGGGCTAGTTAATCTTGAACATAGTGAAGTCTTACCTCATCCAGTCAATTCCAGCAGCCCTGCTAAGACTTTCCAGCCAAGTTTCCAGCCCTCCAGTAGTCACAGCTACTCTGTTTTACAAGTTGGTATCAGAGCTTGTCGTTTCGATCAACCTAGCCCACCACGTTCCTATCCTAGCACCATACGAACATGGCGGGAGACAATCCATCTGGTCCTGCACTCCAGCCAGCCGGAGGAGCTTCAGAGTCAACATCAGCAGCTACTGGATTAGTGGAAGCAGTTGCACCAGGCAGTCCTTCAACAACATACTCACCACTCACCTCCTTCATGCCTAAGCTTCACCTCCCCAAGTTCAACGGCAAAGATTTTCCAACATGGGCAACTCAGTTTGAGCTCACTGCATCCCTTCTGGATCTGTGGCCTTACTACACTGGAGAAGCAGCCAAACCAGCAGCAGATGCTTCAGAAGCTGAAAAACGACTTTACGAACGACGCAACAAGGAGGCCTTCCTCTACCTACTCAATAGCATTCACGAGCAGCAGTTGAAGTCGCTCCTGCCCTGTTCTACCAAGGCAAACAGTGCAGAGGAAGCATGGAGCCGACTGAAGACTATGCACCAGTCAAAATCCGAGAGCAGCCAAGCCGAGATGTGGAGCCGCTTCATGAATCTGAAGATGGAAGAAGATGAATCAGCACAAGCCTACCTACAACGAGCTGAAGCAATGCTGGAGGAAGCAGCAGCGATCGGCTTGGAGATTCCAGAGTCTCTTTTCAAGACCGTCATCCTCACCGGCCTTACACCGGAGTGGGACACTTTCCGTGCAACACTACAAGCGCTCCCGCAGTCAATGAAGAGTCGTGCGTTCATCTTTGAGGCCCTTGTCAACGAGCAGCAGAGTCGAGACCTTGCACGGAACAAGCGGAGTGACGAAGGTGCGTGGAGTGCTGCAGCAGCCACAAGATATGGCAACCAATTCCAGAGGCAAGGAAATTTCAGCCCAAACCGCCCTCAACCCTACTACGGTACGAAATTTCAGTCACCTTCCAACCCATACAAACCCTCTCGTTTTCCTCAGTCAAGTCCTCCCTATAAGTCCAGTCACTATGTCCAGCCAAGGCCTTCGATTCCCAATCAATACCAGCCTAGGAATGCAAGAGTCAATATGCCAAGAGTCAATAATTTCAGCCAAGCCCCGAATGCTAAAAAGTTTAATTTTGAGTGTTTTTGTTGTCATGAGTGGGGTCACCCGTGGTATGCTTGTCCTAAGAAGCCTCCTAATTGGGTCCCCCCACCTCAGCTACTATCTGAAAAAGGTAAGGCAGCCATAGCAAATATAGCAAGTCATTCTACAAGTCAAGATGAGTCCAAAGAGTCCGATGGTCCTGTCCTTTTTAACGCTGCTACTTGCATGCACGTTTTCTCTACTAGTAGTGAGGAGTTTATTCTTGATAGTGGCTGCTCTGAAACCATGACTCCCTATCAGTCCATTCTCAAGGATTTTCAGCCCTCATATGACTCAAAAGCTGTGACTCTTGCTGATCTTGGCAAAGTACCAATCAAAGGAGTCGGCAAGCTTGAGTTCGAAAAGGATGGTAAGTCATTTTGTGTCAATAAAGCTTTGTTTGTTCCTGATTTGGGAGCAAACTTGCTCTCAGCCGGACAACTCAAAGAGAAAGGTGCCTCCGTTCTCTTGCAAGGGGGGAAAGCCAAAGTGTGGGACAGTGCAGGAAATCTGGTGGCTGAAGGCGAGCGTACCGGGCGGCTCTACAAGATGAAGTTGGAGATTAAGCGCGGTGCTAGCAACACGAAGAACGACGTTGTCTCGCTTCCCGCTGTTTCAACCGATCAAGTCAACAACAAAGGGAGTATCTCCCAAGCTGAGGTATGGCATGCACGCTTGGGGCACGTGGGAGTGCAAGCATTGAAAGAGTTGGTAAATCACAAGAGCGTGGAAGGATTGAGTTTGAATGAAAGTGCAGTCAAGTCCCTTTCTTCCGTTCCATGTCCATCTTGTGTGGAAGGTAAACTAGCTAGAAAGCCATTCTTCCCTTCTAAGTCTCAGTCAAGGGACCTCCTAGAGTTGGTCCACACTGATGTCTTCGGCCCCATGCGAGACCCTACTCGAAACGGTAAGAGATATTTGGTGTCTTTCATTGATGACAAGAGTCGTTTCTCATGGTCCTTTTTCATCAACACCAAGGATGAAGTTCACAAGTGTTTCAAGCAATGGCTATCACTTGTTGAGAGAGAGTCAGGGAAGAAGTTACTCACCTTGAGGTCGGATCGAGGAGGTGAGTACATGGGGAAAGCGTTTCACGGGGAGTTGTTGGCATTGGGCATCAAACAACAGTTCACTTGTCCCTATAGTCCTCAGCAAAATGGAGTGGCAGAGAGGTTTCATCGCACTATCCAAGCTATAGCTACCACTTTCCTTCAGTTCAAAGGCCTTGACAAGCTCTGGTGGGGTGAGGCAATCACTATGGCAATTTATGTTCGCAACAGGAGACCCACAAGGCCCTTACCGGAAGGTGTAACGCCATATGAGGCTTGGTTTGGAGTTAAACCAGATCTGTCTATGCTTCGTGTTTTTGGTTCCATGGCCCAATACCGTGTTCCAGATGCAAAGAGACTCAAGCTGGACAGCAAAGCTCATTGGGGCCTCTTCATCGGCATGAGCAATGAGAGCAAGGGATGGGTCCTTTGGGATCCTGTCACCAAGCGAGAAGTGGTTTCAAGGGATGTTGTCTTCTATGAAGACATGTCCCTTGCAGGTTGGCATAAGTTTTCCTCTTCCTCCTCTCTATCCTCTATCCAACAGGAACCAGCAAGCGCACCTGAGGAAACAACACAAGAGGAGGAAGAAGATGACACCGATTCTGACCATAGCGGACCGATCATCGATCTCCCTCAAGCCGTCGTCAACGAGTCCAACCGTGCCACGCCAGTGCCACCAGCAGCTACTCAACCAAGTGGAGATGAAGTTCAGCCATCAAATGAAGACAATCCACCGCAGCAAGTCACCGTTCCATCACCACCAAAGGAGCAGCAGCCAACAGTCACAAACCAGCCAGCTATATCAACACCAACCTCACAATTTCAACGCCAACCGGATCAGCCCACCACTACGCCATCAAACCCATCACCAGCCATCACTCCAGAGGCAACTACAGAAGCTCGTCATCATCCCATGCAGCAGCAATCAACAGCTACAAGACCCCAAGTACCTACATCAACACCATCTACGACTCTTCCTAGCAACAAGTCAACCGTCACCGCAACACCTCGTTCTCATACCACACGTTCATCACTTGTTCCAACGTCAAGCCAGCTCATAGCACGAGGATCACTTCAGCGAGTCACCACCAACACCAGCTCCAACAGTCCACTTCTTCACCCAAGACCTTTCTCAACTTCACCCCCACGTCCCGGATTCGGTCGTCATCAGTTACCACCATCTTCAACACCGAGCAACAACACCAACCAGCCCCAACCATCACCACCTCTCGACAAGGCAGCGTCATCATCAATTCCCAAGCTTCTAGTCTCAAGATCCCCACCAAGAGCATCTTCACAACCAACTATGCCGACAAACGTTTCAGCTTCACCGCCACGAGTCACCATACCTAATCCTCAAGTCAACACCGATAATCAAGATATTTCCACGCCAGGAGAAGAACAAGCAGCCGTGCCGCCGTCGCAGCCGATGTCGCAGCCGTTGTCTCAGCCGCAAATGACCGCATCAACGCAATCAAACACTGTGAGACCGAACCCTACCACTAATGTGTCTCAGCCAACTGAGGAGTTTGGTAAAGGTAAACGAGTCCGCAAGGTAAAAAAGCCCTTCAATTTCATGGTTGACATGTCATCAAGGTGCACATGTGAGGAGAGTGAGAATTGCATTCACAAGAAGGTAGAGGCAATATGCATGGCAGCATCACACCTTCCGCGAGAGCCCTTGAGTCGTCGTGAGGCAATGGCAAGTCCCAAAAGAGAGCATTGGTTGAAAGCCGAGGAAGAGGAGATTGAGAGTCTCATGAAGCGAGGTACATGGCGTCTTGTTGAGCCACCTCCAGGGAAGAAGGTAATTGGTGTCAAATGGGTGTACAAGATCAAGGTAAAAGGTGATGGTAGCCTCGATAGGTACAAGGCAAGGTTAGTGGCAAAAGGTTATTCCCAAATTCCAGGTCTTGACTTCACCGAAACCTTTGCCGTGGTAGCAAAGTACACCACGGTACGAGTCCTCCTCGCCATAGCCGCATATCTTGGTCTCCATATCCATCAAATGGATGTCAAGAACGCATTTCTCTACGGTGTCTTGGAAGAAGAGGTATACATGGCACAACCCGAAGGTTATGATGACGGTACGGGTCGAGTGTGTCGCTTGGTAAAGTCCCTTTATGGTCTCAAACAGTCCCCACGGGTTTGGTATCATGCTCTTGAGCAGGTACTTTTCAAGCATGGTTTCACAAGGTCCATGAGAGACAACGCTCTGTACTTCATGCACACGAGTGAGGGGGAGTACATTTGGCTCTTGGTATATGTCGATGACCTCCTCCTAGTCTCAGGTTCTCTTGATCTTCTCAACAAGGTGAAAGGTATTCTCACGAGTGCATTCACGATGACCGATCTTGGTGAGCCGAGTCATTATCTTGGTATGAACATTGTGAGAGATCGTAAGTCACGGTCCATCTTCCTATTCCAGCAAAGGTACATCCAAAAGGTCCTTGAGAGGTTTGGTCTTGATGATAGCAAGCCATCACCTACCCCACTTCCTTCCAAATTTGTCCCTTTGTCTTCACATCAGCCCTATGAAGAGAGAGAGTCAAGCCTTGATATCATAGGTATTAAAGAGTTGTGTCTTGAGGAGAGTGAGCATCATGGTGAGAATTCACTTAAGGTATCCCCACAAGACCTAGCTCTGTACCAAAGTCAGGTTGGGTGTCTCATGTATGCAGCCCTATGCACAAGGCCCGACTTAGCATTCACGGTATCTAAGCTAGCTCAACACATGAGTGCCCCTTCACCTATTCATATGCATGCAGCCAAGCGAGCTCTTCGGTATCTCAAAGGTACTTCTAATCATGGTCTTCTCTTCCAAGCCAGCCCATATGCAAGCTCCCTCCAAGGCTTTACCGATGCAGATTGGGCGGGAGAATTGAGCACACGCAAGTCTACCGGCGGCTACATCTTCCTCATGTGTGGTGCCGCTGTTTCTTGGCAATCGCGCAAGCAAAGTTGTGTGGCACTTTCAACAACCGAAGCTGAGTACATGGCAATGACCGAAGGAGCAAGGGAGGCAATCTGGTTACGTGGACTCTTGGAGGAATTGAGGCAGCCGCAAACTCAACCAACTCCGCTCTACGTGGACAACACTTCAGCCGTAGCTCTTTCCAAGAACCCGGTTCATCATGGGCGTACAAAACACATCGAGGTGCAGTACCACTTCATTCGTGAGCAACTAGAGAAGGGAGTTCTCGCCGTCAACTTTTGCCGTTCATTCGATCAAGCAGCAGATTTCATGACCAAGGTTCTTCCACATGATGCATTCAACATGTGCAAGGCAAGAGCAGGCCTCATGACACTTCATGAAGCAGTGGAGCAGTTTGAGGAGAATGAGGAGTGTGAGGGGAAGAGACGTGGGCAGCAGCATGAAGTGTATGCTAAGGAGATGTGAAAGGAGCATCAGCATAGGTGTATGTGTGCTTCGGGTCTGGTGCGAGGGGGAGTGTTGGAGAATCGAGTTTCTGCCGCCCCAGCCCTTTGCACACAAGCAGCAGCAAGGGGGAATGTCGGCGATGAATCAGAGCTTCGGGAAGTACTTCGAAAGTTCCACCACCAATCAGATTTCAGCCGAAGACTCGATATAGTTCAAAGCTGCCTTCAAACCGAAGTGTTGGCAGTTTCTACAGGTTTCTACACATCAGAATCAGCTACAACAGAAATATCCAGAGTTTTCTTATTCATGCACCTCATGTGGCACTCAAAGTCACTCAAGGTCCATCCAATCTAGATTGTGCCCAAGTTACCAGGGAAGTTACATTGTCTATCAGCCTAGTTTGAGCTTTCAATCTGTCTTGTTTGTGATGCCTAGAGTTGTGCTTTAGTGGGCTAGTTAATCTTGAACATAGTGAAGTTTTACCTCATCCAGTCAATTCCAGCAGCCCTGCTAAGACTTTCCAGCCAAGTTTCCAGCCCTCCAGTAGTCACAGCTTCTCTGTTTTACAAGTCTTATTTGGCGGGACAGCCAAAGCCCAAGAAAAGTGCAAGGAAAATCGACTCTGGGTTGGAACCCTCAGGGCGTGTCACCTCGAACTCCGAACAAGACCCTTGTTCGAATATGCAAAATGTTACACGTTCGCAACATCTCGTAACGTCAATCACAACAAGAATTCGAGAAGCTGAAGTCAGCTATCGCCGACGACAGCTGCGAAATAGTGAATGTTCCAGCCCGAGTAAATCTCGACGGAAGACTTCCGAGGTGGCGACGCTCCTGTGCAAAAAAATTCCGCTCTACGTTGCGATTCAGTAACCACCCCAATTTCAGTTAGAGGCACCACGTCCTAACTTAGAAGATGCCGAACGACGGCGACGAGGGGGAAACGCTGCTGGGGGTGCGTGGCGCCTTCCCCGCGTCGTTCGGCCGCCAGGAGGAGCGAGTCACGCCGCTCGAGGCCGTTCACGCGCAGGCGGCGCGCGCACACACGGAGCGCGCCGGAATGAAGGGGAAAAAGAAGGCTTGGGGGATGAAGTTCGGCATCGGGCCGAGCCTGGCGAAGAGGTTAGGCGACGGGGCCAAGGCAGGGCTGGCGGGAGCAGCGGCGGTGGGAGCGACGGGCGCTGGAGGTATGGCGGAGGGGGGAGGGGCAGTCAGAGTAGCGGACGGCATGGGCGGAGAGGAAGCAGCGGGGCGCAGTCGAGGGAGGCTGGCGGTAATCCGCTTAGTGGCGGTGCTGGTGGGGCAAACGGGGAGGCGGGAGGGGCGAACGGGGGCGGGGGTGGGGCAAGAGCGGGCAGGGATGGAAGAGCAGCGGATGGGTGGGGAGCAGCGGATGGGTGGGGAGCAGCGGTGGTGCGGGGCGAGGGTGAGGGGCATGGGGTGATCGGCCCTCCGCGCCCCCCGGGCCCCCTGGAGGAGGGTGCTGGCGGGCTGATTGGGCCTCCTGCCCCTGCTGCTGGCAGGCCGGTGCGCGGAAGAAGGGCCGAGCGGCAGGGCGGCAGGATGAGCATAGGAGCAATAGCAGTGATGAGGATGATGATGAGGAGGACGGCGCAGATGCGGAGGAGGGCGACTAGTTTGGAGTGCCGCTGAGCAATGAGATTGTTCTGGGGGGGCACACCAAGGTGAGATGCTCCCATGGCGCGCTGGCTGTAGCAAGGTGCGCTTGCTGTAGCAGGCGCGCTGGCTGTAGCAGCCGGAGAGGCCACCGGCAACGGCGCCAGTCACAGATGGCAAGGCGAATCGTTCCCCATGCCTTCTCAGCTGCCCCACCCATTTCTTCATTTGCCCCACTCGTGAGCGACCAGCAAGCTCACCCTGTCCCCCTGCCCTTCTCGCCCCCCCGGCGTGCAGGCAGTGGCGGCGCTGGCGGTGGACCCAACGGGCACGAGGGTGATCAGCGGCAGCTACGACTACTGGCTGCGCTTCTACGACTTCCACGGCATGGACTCAAGGCTCAACGCCTTCCGTCAGCTGCTGCCGTGCGACGGCCACCAAGTGCGCGCCGTCTCCTTCAGCCCCTCCGCTGACCCACTGGCAGTGCGAAGGCCAAGGTGTGCGCAGGCCAAGGTGCGCTCCTCCCTCCCATCTCCCCTCTTCGGTGCTTCAAGCAGATTTTTCGTGTCTCACTAAGGATTATTGTTTCCATGTTGCCCACTGTCTCGCACCCACCAACACAATAAGCTGCTCACGTGGGTGACAGACCAAGTGGTCGGCCACAAACGAGGTTGCAGGCGTCATCTCGCCCCACCCCTCTGCTCACGCCCCACCTTCCTGCTGCCCGTTCCCTCACTGCGTTGTCATGGGTTGTGTTGTGGTGGCGGGGTGGGGGCAGGGCAGGTGTACGACAGGGACAGGGACGTTCTCCTCCATCTCGCCCGCCCCCGTGCTTTTCTTCCCCCTGCAGGTGGTGAAGCCGAAGCTGGCGCGGCCAGGGAGGGTGCCGTGCCGGTGACAGCAGCGGAGTGGGGCCCTGATGGCCACCTCATGACTGCTGGCCTCAACGATGGCTCACTGCAGGTATGGGGCATGCACGGCATGGTGGGGTGTGGCATGACATGACGTGGAGTGGCATGGCATGGCGGGGCATGGCGGGGCAGGGCAGGGCTTGGCATGCATGGCATGCCGTGGCAGGTGTGTCGTGGTGGGGAGAGAGGAGTGGGGCATGTGATGCGTGGTGGAGCTGCCGCTGCATCTACCATGACATCTACCATGACATCTACCATGACGACTAACGAGTATGCATAATGTTGAACATTGCTCGTCAGAGTTTTGCTCGACTCGGGGCAAAAGCTCGTCGAGCAAGAGCATGGACGAGTCGAGTTTTGCTCGACTCGTCACTTTGACCATGTATACCTTCACCGGCTGCTTGAACTTGGGCAGGTCCGTGAACAGTGTTCGGTTCGCCGAACAGCGGTGTTCGTGCAGGGGCGAACGCGAACACGTTCGTGTTCGCCTCTTGCTCATCCCTAATGACAACTTGTTAACACTGTCTTACTTAATTGTTCTTCCCACCCCCACACCCCATCTCCACGTGTCCGCGTGCGGGGCAGCTGCAATTCTACTCCAAGGAGACGCTGGAGCTTGTGCGCGTCACGGGCGTGTCGCCCGACCAGAGCGTCGTGCGTGTGCTGTGGCACGCACACCTCAACCAGGTGGGTGCTGTGGCACGCACGCCTCAACCAGGTGGGCGCTCTTCTTTCTCATCGTACCCAGATGCTTATTGCTTTTCACAGCACTGTCAGCACTCTCAAGTGTTGATCTGCCCCCCCTTCCCTCCTCAAGTCTCATTCCAACAGCCAACACCCGCCCAGCAAAACCCAAATGTTTTGAGTCGACTCAAAACACGGCCCTAACCCCGATCTGCCACACATCCGTTTTCATCTGCCCCTACTCCCTCTGTTGAATCTACCCCACCAGATATTCGCCACATGTGGAGACAAGAAGGCGGGCGGCACACACATCCTGTACGACCCCACGCTCAGCGAGCGCGGTGCGCTGGTGTTCGTGGCGCGTGCCCCCCACGCACCGCGCCCCAAGGACCTGTGTGCGTGTGCGGCGGCGCCCGCCATCCGCAACCCGCACGCGCTGCCCATGTTCTGCGACGAGCCGAGCCGCAAGCGGCAGCGCGAGAAGGCGCGCAAAGTCCCCGTGGCGAGCCAGCGCCCCGACCTGCCCATGGAGGGGCCGGGGCAGGGCGGGTGCGTGGGACACACCAAGGGCACCCTGCTCATCCAGTACCTGCTCCGCGTGCGTGCTGCTGCCTGCCACCTACCTGCCTGCTGCTTCCTGCTGCCGCGGCAGTTGTTGTTGGGCATGCTGAGAACATGGGAATGCATTGTGGCAGTAGTTGACGTGAAGAGCCTGAGCCTGAGAACCAGTTGTAAGGGACCCCTTCCTCATTTCTTCCTCTCCTCTCCCCAATCCCTCCCCTATCTCCCCAACCACTCCCCCCTTTTGAACCTTTCCCACGTGTGCGTGCATTGCGTGGGCAGGAGGGCGGGCTGCGGGAGGAGACGTGGATGGAGGAGGACCCGCGTGAGGCCATCCTCAAGTACGCGGACGCAGCGGCCAAGGACCCGCAGATCATTGCGCCCGCCTACGCTGCCACACAGCCCACCACGCTGTTCCACGAGTCCGGTGACGAGGACCAGGACTTGCGCCCGGTCACTGGCACACGCTCCAGTGTGAACATTTGAGCAAGCAAAAACGGATGGTTCTTATCGTCAACAAGCGATGGGAAAATCTCAAGTGCGTCGCCTTTGGTTTCGAATGGCTTTTCTTCTTACCTGCATCTGAGTGTAAATGGCACTGCATTGCATATTAATTCTTGATTTAAGATTAATTCTACAGCACGCAGACCATATGCTTCATCATTTAAATCATATACGGTAACAGGAATATCAAGACAGTACATGAAACAATGGGGTGTCAATCATGTTGCTACTTTCAAACTAATCCCAGTGCTCAAGCCTGGAGCCATCCGTCAGGAGCGCTCACGCCTGGAGCCAGGGCTGACGTTTCATTCTGTGCCTGCCTGATTTCTAGGACAAATTGGTCCTACCTACTTTGTGAGCATATTTAACAGAAAAACGGTACTGTAATTGCTCAGTGTCCAACAAAGTTCAAAACTGAAGCTTCTGTTGGGAACAAACAATCTTAAGCGCCTCTGTCGTGTCGAAACACCAAGGCACAAGCGAAGCAGAGCATATCGAGGCACCAGCGAGTCAACCCTCGGAGGTTGAAGTAACCGCTGGAGGTTACGCGAAAGTCAAAGGTCAGCGACCTTTGACTTGACAAATGCAGCGCGACAGCAAGGACACACAACTGACTCGACATTGAGCAGTTGCCCGAGTCGCACTGTATCGAACCGCAACAGTAAAACAGTTTAATTATATCTCTTCGTATTCTTTGTACTCTTATATAAACCTTTGTACTTGCTTGTTTTAATCAACTTACTTTGCCCTCACATACCAGCGCAAGGTGGTTCAAGGACTTCATTTAAACGCTTCCGCTACTACATCACTCTACCCAGGGTTTAACCCTATCTTGGCTTGCGGATCACCCGGGACAGAGCACAGCGCACCATCACCTTGACTCAGTCACACATGGTGCAGCAGGTCCTTCAGCGCTTCCGCTTCACGTACTCCTCGCCTCAGCCCACTCCTCTGCCTACCGGTCACTCGCTCTCAGCTCTGCCTTCGGATGAGTCCGTAGAGCCGAGTGGCCCGTATCCAGAGCTTGTGGGCTGCCTCATGTACCTGATGACCTGCACTCGACCTGACCTGGCATACCCTCTTAGCATCCTAGCACGCTATGTCGCTCCCGGCCGTCACCGGAAGGAGCACATGGATGCCGCTAAGAGGGTGTTGCGCTACTTGTGCAGTACGTCGGGCATGGGGCTCGTGCTTGGAGGTCGGAGCGACGTTGTCCTCACGGGTCACTCAGACGCTTCTTGGGCTGACGACCAGGCTACGCAGCGGTCGTCTCAGGGTTACACCTTCAGCCTTGGCTCTGGTTCAGTTTCTTGGCGTTCTACTCGCTCTTCTTCTGTTCTCAGCTCCAGTTGTGAGGCTGAGATCTACGCCACAGCCATGGCTGCACAGGAGTTACGCTGGCTCACCTACCTGCTGACCGACCTGGGAGAGCGGCCTCGTTCTCCTCCAGTGCTGTACGTTGACAACAAGGCCGCCATTGCCTTGTGTGAGGAGCACAGACTGGAGCACAGGACGAAGCACATCGCTCTGCGCTACTTCCTTGCTCGAGAGCTGCAGCAGCGTGGTCAGCTTCGTCTGCGTTACGTGGCCACTCGGGCCAACACTGCTGATGTGTTCACCAAGGCGCTTCAGCCTTGTGACCATCAGCGTTTCTGTACTGTTCTAGGCCTTGTGCCTACTCTCCCTCACTTGCTCACTTCTTGACTCTGCTTGTACTGTGATCTCTATATATATATACCTGCATGTTTACTCTTGTTAGGTTGTGATCACTGTACCTCTTGTTATATTATCAAACTGCATGTGAACTGGTCTTGTGACCACTTGCTTGTGCTCGGAATTTGTGTGGTTTCCTTGAGATCCACCCTGAGCTTGCTTTGCTTTGCTTTGACTGGTCTTGTGACCATCTGGTTGTCTCCCACTTAGCCTATGGGGGTGTGTCAAACATTATACATGTTCATATTGTGTAGGCTATAGTGGGTTTAGCCTTAGGGGGTACAACATTGCTAGGGTTTCCTACTTGTATCACCCTGCTGCCTAGTTTCACACATTCTCGTTCAGTTCTAGATTCTAACATGAAACACCCGCAAACCAAGGCGCGGGCTTCGATCCAAGCATGATGGAGAAGTTCTTCTCCTTCATGTCCTTCTACGAGCAGCATCAGCAAGGAGCACCTGCGCAATCAAACAACAGCAACAACAACAACAACGTGACGCCCATGAGTCTCGATGGCTCATCCTACGCACGCGGGAATCAACAACAGCAACCTACCTTCGCTCCGTACGAGCCCCAGCGCGGCTCCGTCAGCTTCATGCCACAACCACAACCTGCACCGGGACAAGAGAGAACGCTGGACGCACTACAAGTTCAGTCGCAGTTCGCGCACGTTCTAAAACTGCAAACGACAAAACCCTTCGACGGGAAGGATTTCTTTACCTGGTCGTTCGAATTCGAGCTGATGATGGAAGGAGCGCAAATCCTTGGCTTCTTCGACGGGTCCCTGCCATACCCAACAAACGGCACACAGTATGAGAAGCAGCAGTACACCTATCAATCGATGATGGCGTACACGATACTACTGAGGAACATCACTCCAACTCAACAAAAAAACATACGGTCTTATCGAGGCTACGGCAACTCCGCGGAGCTCGCGTACAATCACTTGAAGAGCCTGTATCAAGCAACAGACAGCGTAAACCAAAGTCGGTTAATGGCGCAGCTGACAACAATCGAAATGAAACCAGGCGAGAAGGGAATGGCGTATATCAGTCGCTGCCGCGAGCTGCGCGACAAGCTTCTTCGATGTGGAGGATCGATTTCAGAGGACGCCTTCGTCACGGTTGTCATCGGCGGTCTTGGTCCTCACTGGCGCTCCACTCGCGCCATACTACGAGCCCACGGGAAAATTTCTGAAGCAGCACTTTGCGCCGAAATCCACGCCGAGCAGCAAGACATGGACCTGCAAGAAGAACGACACAAGAGAAAGGTATCAGTGCCCGAATTCGCGTTTCACACTCAACGGCGCCACAACAACAACAACAATCGACCGAAAATCGTACCTCCGTTCTGCCACCTCTGCAAGACTTCAGGGCATCCTCGTACGCACTGCCCGAATCGACAACAGTCAACGTCGCCGCAACGCCAACTTCGCCCTTCAAGCAGTCAAGTCGCCTCAACGCAAGCAAATCCGACAACTTCAGTACAAGTCTCAACAACATCGACGGGACAACCTGCGAAAGGAACAAGAAACATCGTCAGCTGCATGGCAAGGCTGAGTGACTCCTGCGTAACTGAGTCACCACCATATTACTCACCAGAAGAACAACTCGACAACAGCACGCCTCGCCGCGAGTCACTTCAACCGAACCCGACGTACGCCGCCATCGCTCAAAGCAAGCCGTCCGGGAAGGATACATGGTTCTTGGACAGTTGCTGCGGACAACATATGTGCTCTTCAGGACGTTTCGTTCAACGCGAGCACCAACTTCAACCACAAGTCGTCATCACTGTCGCCAATAATCAGAACCTGCGCACACGACGACAAGGAGTAGTGCAACTTCAGTCACGAGAGACGAATGTCATACTGCAAATGTCCAAAGTCCTAATAGCAGAAGGACTTGGCTACAACTTACTGAGCGTCAGTCAGTTGATGGCGAAAGGCATACATCTGGAAGCCGACAGTACCACCCAGGAGTTCAAGCTGTACCACGGGAAGGGCGGCCTCTACATCGGAAAGGCGGTCCTGAAGAACAATGTCTTCGTTCTCGATTTCGTCCCAGACCTGGGCACCGCAGACAGTGACGGGATCGTCACCTTCACATCTTGGACGCACCCGCCGGATCTCGACCCCGACTTCAGTCCGGAAGGCTTTTGGTATTCACATACCATTCCTGAAGCAGAACGAACACGTGCGTTAGTAACAATACAACATTCGGCAGCAGCAGAGACAACATCGGCAGCAACAGAGACAACATCGGCAGCAGCAGAGACAACATCGGCAGCAATAGAGACAACATCGGCAGCAGCAGAGACAACATCGGCAGCAGCAGAGACAACATCGGCAGCAGCAGAGACAACATCGGCAGCAGCAGAGACAACATCGGCAGCAGCAGAGACATCATCGGCAGCAGCAGAGACATCATCGGCAGTAGCAGGAACAACAACAGTAGCAGCAACAACGACACCACTCCTCGTTGATGAAGCACCACCAACACCCGCACAGCAGCTGAATCCGGCTCAACGGGAAGTCCATAGAAGCGCAAACTTCACCGCCAGCTTCTACTCCAACTCCGACGCGTATCGACGCTCACCCGGACACCGCGCCTCCGAAGACATCTGGCACGCACGCATGGGACACCCAAGCAACACTGTGTTAAACAACACAATAAGAGCAGGAGTCCTTGACAAGGACTCGTTACTACTACTCGACGGCAGAGAACTTCAACGGGCACGAGGAACATGTCTTACCTGCCCCGAAGCCGACTTACCACATCGGCCGTTCACTCCTCATCACAACCCGAGCACACCCGCGTACGCACCACTCGAAAAGGTGTATAGCGACATCCTGTACAATCGGGAACCAGGACAAGTAATATACAACTACACAATCACCTTCATCGACGCCGCCACCCGTTACGTCTGGCATCTAAACCTACCCAGCCGCGACATGGTCCTCGAAGCATTCGCTGCTTGGCTACCAGTAGCAGAAAGAGAGTCGGGCGTAAAGCTGAAAAGCTTCCAGTCTGACGGAGGAGGAGAATACACCTCTCAGCGATTCAAGCAGTACCTGGCGGAAAGGGGAATCAAGCAGCTCCTCTCTCTTCCCTACGCCCATCAGCAGCAAGGTGTAGCAGAAAGAATGAACAGGACTCTGCAGAACAGCATGCGCAAACTGTTGCGTGGCATGCGGCTACCCAACCACCAGTGGCCTGACGCGATGGACCACGCTGTCATGCTGCACAACTTGCTCTCATCTTCATCACTAC